TTAAAAAACCAGACCTTTATTTATACCTTTATATGCCTTGGGAAGCCGCCTTTTGTAACCCAGATCAAGTGTACAGCTGTAACTTGGTTTCATCTCTTACAGAAGAGGAAGCGCCGAGAGAAGGACGATGATGCAGTCAGTCTTTGCAGCCTTGATTTTAAGGTAATTAAATCATGCTGCTCTACAATAACGTGCTACCATCTAGTCAGTCAACTACAGTATTTTATACTGGGGGATGCCACACTTTCCGTGTCTGCGTTTTGCCACCAGCAGCGCGGAGAAGCGTATAGCTGCGCTCGCTCTTGCATCCTTCTCTGGGGTGGGCCGAGTCCTGCTGGTGGTGTCCATAGCACTGTTTGGGGCCTCCCGTTTTAATCATCTGTATCCTAAGTCTGCCACAGTTTTAATGTTGTGTGAAATAAATCTGTATAACCTGGGCTTAACAAAAGCACAAGCATTTCCAAGCGATAGGAAGCAAAATTATGCAACGTGGAAATGGCAAAGCTCCATCAAATTTTGCTTTTGTTTGACTGTAGTCAGTGTGCTTCGTTATATTGCAAGCAAGCTGGACTAGCTCGGATGTGTAAATTGTTCTTAAAGCTATGGATTATAATGACTTTAAAAGATTGGGGGTGGGAGGGTGCAGAGTTGTATCTTTTCCTAAGGACTACCCAAGCTTGCTTTTCTAAGAGGGAAACAGCTTCCTGTTCTCCATCTGCCTTAAAGATCTCACTGTCTGACAATTCTCTGATGAGGGGAAGCAAGAGAAGTAGCGGGTTTTTTTTTTTTTCTGGAAGTAGCTATTGGGTTGAGAGTTAACGAAGTGAGTTTATTAGATTGGGTTTAAAAGTAATTTGTTGGTGGGGAATTTCCTGCTTGACCTAATGACCGGCACATCCTCTCTTGGTGTCACTGACTCTGCATTTGTGCATTATTTATTAGGCTCACTTAGTCTGGCTACTGCTCGATGCTTTCCGTGACTGATTGTGCTGTCCAGCAGGCTAACGCTGTGCTTTGACCTCTCTAGACGAGATCTTCTGTTCTAGATAGGACTGTCCCTGTAATTTCCTAGGAGGGGAGGGAAGAGAGCAGAAAAGATTCTGCAGAGGGCTGTGACACAGCAGTGCTGGCATCTCTGAGCCCAGGGTTTTGGGCTGGTTTGGTTCTGAGCTCTTTCTGGTTTGCTGACGGAGACGGGAGTGTTATAGCTCGGGAAGCTGTCCTCAGGGAAGAGGATTTTCTTCCCCCTCTTTCTTGGTTTTGGTGCTATGATTTGGGGGGCTGGACAAAAGTCCCATGAATTAGGGGGTGGCCCACAATAGCAATCACTTTAATGTGAAACTAAAATTTCAACGATAACTTGCGTACTCATATTTCAGGTGTTTTCACTGAAACCTTTCAAGGAAAAAGGGAAAACCCCAGGCTAATGCAGTCAAAGTTCAGGCTGCAGCTTTTGTTTAACCTGACTTTTTACCTTGTTCTTTTGAAAGGCTCGAGCTCTCCAGGATATTCTGATTTGAGAGTTTGAGGCACACCCACCAAATACATTCCAGTATCCTTGTTAAAATGTATTAACAGTACTGATTGGACTGTAATTTGCAGGCTTCTTAATACCAACCATCAAGGTTATTAGAAGTTTCAGAAGCACCACAGTCAGCTAATTATAGCCAGATTTTTTCAAAACAGTCGCATCACTTGCACTTCTGAGTCTCATTGTGCGCTTAGACTGTAGCCCATATTACACTTTGCTCTATCTTGATTTTCTGATGGTGAATCAATAGGCTGAAATTTGGCCCCACAAAACACAGATATATAATTAACGAAATAAAGTTACAAGAGACGATTAAGATAATTTAAGATTGCTACGCGCACGTTAAACCATGCCATTACTTATCCCCATCTTACAGCTGGGAACTGATTTACAGAGTTTGTCTATATAAAGCGTCTAACTCCCTAGTGTAGCTCCTATTTCCAGCTCCACTAGCCCCCTCAACAAATATAGCTCAGCTGACAAACTGCTGTTTTGTTAACATACTTGTCACAATGGAGGAGTTTTGCCAGCAGGCTGCATTCATGCTCCTGCTAAACATAATTGTCAAAACTGCCATGTAGACGGTGATGACGAGAAGGGCTGTCGTGGAGCAGGGAACTGCACCCCAATATCCCTGCCTTGGCACCCTACCCAGTGTATTGTTTTAAAATATAGCAAAGGAAGGGATAATTTAACCTGCATGCGTACGTGTTCTTCCAAAAAAAGTCGAGCAGTCCTTTAATGACGTTTAACGATATTCTAGGTCATTGCTCTGCGTACCAGGAAGATGGTACGTAAAATTGTAGGGTTGGTCACGGCAGCCCAGGCAGACTGAAGGGCCATGCGATTCTTGTCTAGTTTTGTTTGTTAACCTCTTCTTCGCCTCCAGAGTCTTCCTCAAAAATGAGCCAGGTCTATTATGTCTGTTAAGCTTCTTATCGTTTGACATACAGCCTAAAACCCTCGGAGGCCTCCAAACATTACCTAAACATGAGTGGGAAGTTATAACCTGAGACCAAGTGTACAGTATCCATTTCCTTCAGCCCTGAGCCACCCCTTTTCTTGTGCCAAAACACTCCTTTTGGGGGGAAGGAGGCATTTTCTTCCCAGATCACTTCTGGGCCTGCACTACAACGTGGGCTATTAATAATTGTCTGGACAAGACAGAAGGCAAAGTGCATTGCAGTGCAGGGGCAGAAGCAAGAAACTGAGGACGGGAATTTGTTAAGCAGATCTTTATGCTTCCATACTGAGAGCTGCTCCTGCATTTCAGCAGTGTTTACAACCGATTTCTAGTTAGGTAATCACATCTGAAATACGTGCATGTTACCCCCGGTTATGTAAGGTGCTGAACGATTCATGGGAGGAAACCGGGGACTGTGTTTTTTGAAGGTGTGTATATCTTGATGTGTTTGTTAGCAACTCGATCCTTTTCAGTACGTGATAGGGAATACACAGATGTGACAGCGTATTTTACCAGAGGCAAAATGAAGCCAGACTGAGTAATGCGTAAGAATCACGTCTCGTCTGGACTGGGCTTTCTGCTGGTTATGGGATGTCCTTGTAAGACTTTAGGAAGAGGAATTGCACAGAGGAAGCGAAGTCTTAGTGAGGACCCTTTTTTGACCCTTTTTATGAAGCGCAGTGCTGTGCGCTCTCCAAGCCTTACTCACCTTTTTGGGACCAACCCTGTGAACATTACTCAGCCTGGATAGGAGAGGAGTTCAGTCCACACAAGCCCTGGAGTTGTACCAGCACTGGCGGTGGAGGGAAACCGCGTCTATGAAGCTGACAGTCAGCCGCAGTCACTCCAAGGAAGGCAGATAAGCCCTGAGTTTCCAGTGTAGAGAATGACCTGAAAAAAAGAGAGGGGAGGGAGAATCCTTGTGGGTCTGCATTCTTGCTGGTCCAGATCACTTGAAACCGTCCGTGAGCGTCTTTGCACGGTCAAAGTTCCCACAAGCAGCTTGGCTCGAGGCAGGGGTAGCACAGCCTAAAGAACGTCCCTAGGTAACGCAAGAAATTGCATTACCTTCTTCCTTTACAATATAGATCCATAAACTTTTAAAGCAGCAGCGTAAACAGCCCTTCACTCCTCCCTTCCCCCCTTCCAGAGATTCAACCGCTCTAGAGGACTTTTATGGAAGTTTTATTGCCGTGTCTGATTCATGCAAGAACGTGCCCATGCATAAGTTGCAAATTTGTATTTGGAAATAGACTTTGATCAAAACGAACGTCTCTGGGATTGGCCACACCGCACAACTCGGAAAAACAACGTTTGGCACGTGAGCGGGTCGGGAATTTAAGTCATTTGTAGTTTCTTGCTCTATTACTTTGTTGTTAGGGCAGACGTTGTGTTTAATAATATCACGTTAAGATTAGACAGTCTGCATTTTCTGCTGTTGCATTCATATGCATAAGATGGAAATTGCTCTCCTAGGCCTGAGTACACCAACATTCAGTTCATGGATAGCTGAGGTAACTTGTTTTCTGCAGAGGTCTGAGGAATGCCATAACTTGTATTTCGGTAAAAACGTATCAGTGTATTGGATTTTTTTGCACTTGTAACTTCATAATGGAGTTGAATGGCAGCTAATTATAGTGACCTCGCACTGTCCAAAATAAATGCTGGATTCCAGACCAGCTCAGAAGCTTTTCAGATGACCCAGTAGTCTCCTGATGGGTCATATCCTACTTTTGCTCATTTTCCAGAATACTGCTCTGAATTTGACTTTGAATATAAATATCTAGGAGTGGAATGTTAAACACAGCTCATGGACAGTAAACAACTTTGTGTACAGCTGAGGAGGTCTGGCTGCCTGGGACGCATGACAATATAGAGAAGAACAAGATTGCCTGAGGAGTTCTTATTTTTTCCAGGCCTTGAGTGTTCTGCATGTTATGCTATATATAGTACATGAAGAATTCCTATAAAGTGAGTTTTTAGTTGGATTTCAGTTCCTAGTAAACAGGATTTCTAAATGTACATGCACAACAATGAAAAGGAATATGCTATGGATGTTATGGATGCTTTCGTTTTCCTCGAGACTTCAAGCCGCCAAAGGGATTAAAATGTCGCAGGTTCTTTCTTTGAAGAAATTGAATCCAGATGTCAGTCACATTAGAGGCATCCAGGACCTATGAAAACTGGGAAAAGTGCCCACTGAGGAATACCCCCCCCCCTCCTCCCGGCTCCGTAAGAGCACCAGCTCAAGCCTTCTTCCCTAGCCAGTGGCAGAACTGAGATCTTTTGTCCTGGGCTCTTTTCTGTAGCAACAAACATCCTTCTTGCAGGGTTAGGTATAAAGTGGAGCAACCCTGAAGTGTAGGGGCTATATAACTTGGCCAGACCTGAACTATGGGGAGATCAAGGGTGCTGTAATGACTCTCCGCTGAAGGCAGCTAGGCTGAAATCACAACCCGGGCCTGCTAGGATTTCATGTTAACTGTCTGCCTGCTGTTGGCGCACATGGTTCGAGCACCACCACGAGAAGAGACAGGAACAGGTCCTGAGCGCCGGCCACGCTGGACGCAGGTGCGGGATGACACATTCAGCTGTTGGGAGAGCGTGCCAGTGCCATGAGTGGTCTGCGTGCCACACTTGGCAACCCCTGGCACTAGCCAGATGCCATGTGCCGTGCGCTTCAGCAACTGCATATTTTTAACTGAAAACTTAGCATCAGTCTGGAATTGTACACTGGAATTCTGAAGCATGTTTTCGTAGGAATTCATCATTTGGTGGTCTAAAATTTATTTGATGATGCTTTGGAGTTGAAATAACAAAATGGCATGTCAATACCCTGGAGAGCATTTTTATTTAGTAGCAGCCCTACCCGGAATAACTTGCAGGAGCAAAGAATGTCACAGGTATGAAGCCATCCAGGACTTCAGGCAAACAGCTCTATGTAACAGCAGTCCTCCATGTAAATGAAAACCCACGCTAAAAATAAGAGTAAAACAATGAGGGCTGGGTGACTCCTCTGTCACTCGAACTCTTCCCAGCTCCCTAATTTGATAGTAGGATAGAAGTCACTGAGCTATTTCACACCTAAAAGGGAAAATCAACAGTTGAGTATAGGGAAGGATCGCTCTTAATACCCACTGGCAGGAAAGCAGGAAGAACTAGTCTGTTATCCGTCATTTGGCAGCAGCCGACTGGCCGGGCTGCATTCTCGTGGCTCCAGGGCCACCACGGCGCGGGCTGATCCCTGCCCAGCCGGCCAGAGGGGTAGGGAAGGCACAGGGAGGTTGGAGCCACTGCAGCAGGGCAAGGGGGCGCTGGGAGCGTGGAGGGGTGTTATGAGATGCCGTTGAGCTAGAAGAGTATGTCCTGGGGTTGAGGGACACTGGGGTTATGGCGTGGGGGGCATAGGGCACCACTCTGAAAGTGAGGATTCATTGCTCCTGCTGCCCGAAGAACAGTTTTCCTTTCCTGCGTTTTTCCATTATGTTTTGGCCTTCGCCCGGGGTTTCCCAAGTACCGCAGTCGTCTTCAGAATGGTTTGCCCAGCAGAGCGGTATTTGCTCTTTACACCTTCATGTTTCCACGACGTGCCTTAAGCGGGCTCCATCAGCTGGGGGTTACATCACCACGTATTAGTTAGCCTCACAAGGTGTCGCGCCAAAGGGCAGGCGCGCTCGGGCAGGGATCTCCCTGCCGGTGAATCACATGCTTCCCTGGCACATGGCAGCGGGTCCCTTCCCCAAGGGCTCTGGAAGGAGAAGGAATATTTAACGCTTACGTCATAGAAACACTTCATGCTCTGTGGTGTGAAGTACTTCAAGATGCAGGACATCACGTTCTGGTCCTAATGAGACTCATTTAAGTACCTCCTTTGTGTCTATGACTCCACTTTGTGCCTTCCCTCTCCGGTCCTGGCTGTTAGACCCTATTTTTAGTTGACTCTATATGGCCTATCTACGTCCTCGTAAAAAGAGGTGTGGTGTTTGGGTCTAGCAGCGTTCACCTCCTCCAGCTCCTCAATCTTTTGACCGAGTTTAACCAACTCGCCCTCTGCACTTATGTCCTTAGACTAGGGGAGTCTGGCACGTTAGATGCTCCCCAAAAACCCTGATCAAACTCAACAGGGCCTGCCTACTCCCTCCCACAGCTGTCCCTGGTTGTCTTAAAAATGGTTGACTGCGCTAACGAAGTTGACTTCACTACTCCGAAAAAGGACTGCCCCTATCTGAGAGAGTCACATACTGTCCTTCGGATAAAGCCGCGGAAACTCGCCGTAGCTTGAGTTTCTGAGACTCCTGCAGTAGATGATCCTAAAAGGTCTGGTCTCGCCCGGAGGTGACACGGGCCCGGATTTGCTGCGAGCAGCTCTCCGCCGGAGCGAAGCGCACAAAGCAGACAACCAGGGGAGGGGACAGAAGGACTTTCCTCCTGCCCTTTAGTCTGAAAAGCGATGTCGCAAAGGCCCTGCCGGTCAGGGGGCGCGGGCGGGAGCCGGGAACAGCTCTGCCGGCTGCCAGCCGCCTGGGCTTCACCTCCGAGAAGAAGGTGGTTCGTTAGGCCAGGCGGACAGACCCGAGCGCGGCTCAAATTAGCTCAGTCCGTACCAGCACAAGAGTCCCTTTCACTCGGCAGATTTTGTAGCGGCGCCAGGAACAACACAGCTTGAACAAACAGCAGAAAAGCAAAGCCTTTGCTGCGTTTTTACGGCCGGGCCTGCCGGGACAGGCCGCGCTGTCAGGAGAAGGGGAGAGGCCTCCCACGC